ACAGATACTTTTTTCTAGTCACGTTTTGGGGGATCAGACATTATCATATTTTACGTAACTGCTAATCAAAGCTTGTGAATCTGATCCCCTTCTTGTTTGTTAAATTGTTCACATTTATACCGTCATTTTAATAAATGACATTATTCATCTCTATGAAAGTGTTTTATTTGACTTATACAAAATTAGCAAAAACAAGCTGCGGTGAGCTTGCATATAAGCATAAGAATACATAAATACATATACGAGGGTCATTCAAAAAGTTCGTAGACAATGGCGCTTTTGGCAATATTTCTTTTTAAAAATTCATAATCAACTCATTATTATGTTTAGAAACAATTATTTTACCTATGTACAAAATTATATTCAATTTGAATAAATGGTACTGGCGTTATTCTATTTTAAAATCATCTTGTTTTGTCTGCACGGAGCACTCTCAACGACATTGTAACGTCAAATTCATAACGTCATCGCGTCGTATTTTACAGTTTTTCAAAATACTCCCCTCTGCACTTCACACACAATCTGTGGCGTCTTACCCACTCACTGAATGCATCTCTATACCATGTGTCATCGAATCTACTGACAATCGTTCGAGTTGCATAAGTTAGTTCTTCTGTGTTTTTAAACTTTCTGCCACGTAACTCGGCTTTCACGGTAGGGAAATCTTGAAATCCATCGGCGCTAGGTCAGGACTGTAAGGTGCGTGATTCACACGATCTAAACCTAATAAATCCAACTCCAGCACAGTGGTATCAGCGCGGTTGGCAGGAGCGTTGTCTTGATGAAGAAGGAACTCTTCTATCTGCTTATTCGGTCGTTTCTTCCGAATGGCATTTACAAGATCTCGGCGAATCACCTATTTGAAAAGAGAATGAAGACTTAACTATTTTTTATTGTTTATAATAATTTATTGAAATGCAACTTTGATTTTAAATTTATTCGATTAAATGCCCGGTAAATAATCTTTATAATGGTATTTTAAATGTTATTAAGAAATTATAAATTCATTGTCACATGCTGACAAAACTACTTTAATTTTTATTTTAAAAATATACAAGAAATAATCTGTGCGTTATATTCTGCATTGACTGTTTGTCCCTCGGGTACTGCATGCACAAGCAGCATACCACGGATATCCATGAAAAATATAAATATATTCTTCCTAGCAGATTTTCTTACTTTACCTTTGAGGGGAGGTGGAGATGATTTTCGCTTCCATGCTGAAGATTGTTGCTTTGTTTCAGGATCATAATGAAACAACCAAGTTTCGTCAGTTGTTACTATTCTTTGAAGAAAGTTGTCTTCATTCGAATATCGCCTTAAGAATGCCCGAGAGAGTTGCAATCTTCTTGTTTTGTCTTCATCAGTCAGGAGTTTGGGTATCCAGCGCACCGAAACTCTTCTCATATCCAAGTGTTGAGACAGAATTGTAAAAGCGGTACCAGAGCTGATATCAAACATAGACGCAAGTTCTGCAACTGTGACGCGCCCGTCACGCTCCATAACGTTACTTATTCTTTCGACCAAATTTTCACTGATAATTCGTTTCCGCCCTGATCGCTCAACATCTAAAACAGAGTCCCTGCCCTCCAAAAACCGTCTATGCCATTTATAAACAAACGCACAGCTCACTTTTGACATGCTTCCTGCCTTTTTCAGCATTTCCAGAGTTTGTATTGGTGTTTTTTCAAGACCAACACAAAATTTTATAGCAACTCGCTGCTCCGTGACGTCGTGTAAAGTCATTATTTTTGGCCTTTTTCGATGCGGACTAACAGTCTTCTTTAATCATTTTTTATTCAACGAAGCACTATATTACATCAGAATTTTGCATATGAAATGACGTAACAATACCCTTTTTGATTTTGAATATTTAAATTTTATTACGATTTAGCGCCATTTTTTAAAATGACGACTAATAGCATAATACCAGGAAATAATTATACATGACTAAATTTTGCCTTGCTCCGTGACCCGTTTTATGCGGCTTTGAAATTTAATTAGTTTGAAAGTATGTCGGAATATTTTAAAATATTTTAGTGTAAATTAATTGGAATAACTTTTTAAATATGTCTACCAAATTTGGATATAATATGACGTTAAATAAAAAATCTACGAACTTTTTGAATGACCCTCGTACGTAAAATTTTACAACAGCCTACATGTACATAAGCACAAGAACATACATGTACAAGGAATAAAACTCCTTCGATTGATAATTTGATTGTATGTTGTTTAACGTCCCTCTCGAGAATTTTTCAATCATATGGAGACGTCACCACTTGCCGGTGGAGAGCTACAAATTTTGTCCTATGCTCCGCACTCAGGGTCATTGAGCAGTGAGAGATCTTTTTCCTGCCAGAACCTACTGCAACACGGGACCTCGGTTTATACGGTATCATCTGAAGGACCGGTTTCCACATCCCACAGTGGGATTCGAACCCGCGACGTAAAGATCAACTCCTTACTTCGCAGCTCTTTTTAGAGATATGTATTTTTACATTTATATTTATTTTACAAAAAAAATAGTAAATTCGACACAAATGGCCACATCTCGGAAATAGGATGGGTTCTTCTGTTCTTCTTTCTATGGATAACTTCTCAAGAATTGGCATGGTGACTATCTCAATCAGACTTTTCTGTGTTTGTTGCGTCGTTTTTCCATCATAGTTTAAAGTACTGAGCCATTTCATCATATCTAATATGTTTAAGGGGGAACAGGACCTTGAGCTAAAAAAATTCCTGTCAATGAATTTTTTTCGTATTTTTAGGTCACCTGAGTAAACTCAGGTGACCTATTGCTATCTGTTTTTGTCCGTCGTCGTGCGTCGTGCGTTGTGCGTTAACATTTGAACATTTTCAGCTTCTTCTCTGCAACTACTGAACCAATTTCAACCAAATTTGGCACAAAGCATTTATGAGTAAAGGGGAACAAAAATTGTGAATTTCATGATCCCTGCCCCCCTGGGGCCTGAGGGGTGGGGCCAAAACCACTAAAATTAATGCAATCTTTAAAAATCTTCTTCTTTACTCCTGGACATCAAGCAGACAAACTGTTTGCATGATTGTAATCAGCATTGAGTCTTCTACCAAAATTGTGAAATTCATGGCCCTGGGGTCAGGGGTTCTAGTGCTAGGGCGGGACTAAATAAGTATATAGTGAAAATGCATTATTTCTTTGAAAATCTTCTTCTCTGCTCCTGGTTATTAAATAAACAAACTACATACATAGTTATGATGAGCAAGAGTGCCTCTACCCAAATTGTGAATTTTATGGCCCCAGGGTCAGGGGTTCTGGTGTTAGGGCGGGGCTCTATTGATTATATATAAGGGAAAATATATAAATTCTTTAAAAATCTTCTTCTCTGCTCCTGGGTATTAAATAGATTAACTAAGTGCATAGTTCTGTATGATGAGCAAGAGTGCCTCTACCACAGTTGTGAATTTTAGGGCCCCAGAGTCAGGGGTTCTGGTGTTAGGGTGGGGCTCTATTGATTATATAGTGAAAATACATGAAAATCTTCTTCTCTGCGCCTGGGTATCAAATAGATTAAATAAGTGCATAGTTTTGATGAGCATGAGTGCTTCTACCAAAATTGTGAAATTCATGGCCCTGGGGTCAGGGGTTCTTGTGTTGGGGGGGGGGGGCTCTATTGATTATATAGTGAAAATACATGAATTCTTTGAAAGCCTTCTTCTCTGCTCCTAGGTATTAAATAAACTAACTAAGTGCATAGTTATAATAATGAGCAAGAGTGCCTCTACTAAAATTGGGAATTTTAGGGCCCGATTTTTGAATTTTGAAGCCCGAGGGTCAGGGGTTCTTGTGTCGGGGGGGGGGGCTCTATTGATTATATAGTGAAAATACATGAATTCTTTGAAAATCTTCTTCTCTGCTCCTAGGTATTAAATAAACTAACTAAGCACATAGTGATGATGAGCAAGAGTGCCTCTTCCAAAATTGGGAATTTTAGGGCCCCAGTGTCAGGGGTTCTAGTGTTAGGGGGGGCTCTATTAATTATAGTGAAAATTCATGAATTCTTTGAAAATAAACTTCTCTGCTCCTGGGTCAGTTGAACTACCTATATAGTTATGAACAAGGACCCTAGTCCTCCAGAATTGTGAATTTCAAGGCCCCAGGGTCAGGGGTACTATAGAGAGGGGGGGGGGCTGTACTTATAGACTGAAAATGAATGAATTGTTTGAATTCTGCTCCTTGGTATTAATCAAATATTTTTGAAAAGCAAGGATGCCTTTTCAAAAATTGTGCAATGTGTGGATCTAGGCCTAAAGGTCAGGGGTCCATGTGTGGTAGGGGCACTACTGATTATTGCTGAATATTACTGATTAGTTGAAATGTATTTTTTGTTCCTCTGCCTTGCCTATGGGTATTAAGTAACCAAACTAAGCAAATTCTAAGTGTATAGTTATGATGATCAATGATGCCTCTTTCAAAATTGTGAATGCCATAGCATCTGGCTTAAAACATGAATCAAATTCAATCACTGGAAAGTTGTTGCATAATGCTCAGGTGACCTATAAGGCCCATGGGCCTCTTGTTTATAGTATTAATCTAATATGTACTTAACGTTTTAAACCGGTCCTGTCATGAGATTTCTTGACTAATTTAAAAGATATCGCCTCACAAATATCGCCCTGTATAGTGTTTGTATGGAGTTTTGATATTTCATGTTTACGGGTCCGTTACAGAGTCCATAATGCGAATTTTTGCGCACAAATAATAAATATGTTTGATAACACTATATACTCAAATATTTTAGAATATTCATAGTGTTTAAATTATCTGAAAGCATTTGTTTTAATTTCAGATAGTATTTGGGTGGGATAATTTCTTAATTATTCAAGGCAGCTTCAACAACAAAAACCTCATTTTGGAAAAAATTCTGTCAATAAATATTGCTAAATTTACGATTGAATGTCAGTCCTTCATCGTAATTATTAACTGTATTTATCTCAGAAAAGTGTAACGCAAACAAATGGTAACTTGAAATTAATTTTATTAAAGTGTGGCGATATTATGGGCACGGCTGTTATTTAGTTTCAAATGCAAAACAAACAATATCATATGGGCAATGGGCAGCCAAGACAAGAGCATGCCCCAATCAAATGCACAAACAACATTCAACATCAAAGCAAATCATATATCAAGGTCATTACCAAAGGTCAAAGTTCATATAGTGGTAAGTCAAAGTTCATACAACATCAAAAGTTCAAAGTTCACAACATCAAAGTTCAAAGTTCACCATATATATATATAGAAAGCATTGACCCTGGGAGGTGCAGAGGTCAAAGCTTACAATATAATTACCAAAATGCCGCTTATACGCCAGAGGTGTTATTTACGATATATTTATTACGAATTACATGCCGCTTATGTGCCTTCTTTACTTGTCGTTTATATATCAGTCACTGTTTAGGAAACATTGGCCCTGGGAGGAGCAGTGGCCAAGGTTTGCGAAAAGTTCATCTAAGTTGGTCTCCAGGTAGACTTTTTCTTGTAACAGCCGTACCATTTGATATTAAGTGATCCTTTTGTAGGACAGCTGCAATAGAAAGAAAAACACAGCGCAAAAATCTATTCGCATAAGGGTTGGGTGAGGAGGGTATTTTTCTAAATATCTAAATTTGCAAAAAATTATCCTTTAAAATTGCACCAACCTCATTCATATAGTCTGTGAATGAAAAAGGATTAACGGAAGTTGACTCAGGGGGAATAACTCTAATTGATTATAGGGATTATAGGCGGATCTATGGATTTTGTAATATGGGAAATTAACACTTTCTTCGATAAAAGCCTCCAATTCGAATAGAATTGGATGTGATATTATCTCAGAAAAGTGTAACGCAAACAAATGGTAACTTGAAATTAATTTTATTAAAGTGTGGCGATATTATGGGCACGGCTGTTATTTAGTTTCAAATGCAAAACAAACAATATCATATGGGCAATGGGCAGCCAAGACAAGAGCATGCCCCAATCAAATGCACAAACAACATTCAACATCAAAGCAAATCATATATCAAGGTCATTACCAAAGGTCAAAGTTCATATAGTGGTAAGTCAAAGTTCATACAACATCAAAAGTTCAAAGTTCACAACATCAAAGTTCAAAGTTCACCATATATATATATAGAAAGCATTGACCCTGGGAGGTGCAGAGGTCAAAGCTTACAATATAATTACCAAAATGCCACTTATACGCCACAAGTTCCCTGAGATGAGGATCAGAATGAAACTCATCCAGGGAACTCCGCCACCATGGTGGGGGTAGAGCGGCATATACGAACAGCCGTACCCAGGACCCTTGCTAATTGGGAAAGCAGGATTGACCATGGGCAACGATAGCCTCAAGTCCCCCCTGGAGAGAGTTTAGAAAAATATTATTCCCCAACGAGGATAAGTGTACCCCATCCTGTAAAAATAAAGCTGGATCAGGTTTAATGTCTGAATGGCGAATTATTGCGCCCCCAGATTGCAAGACAATTGCAGCTATACCAGAATTAACCCGTTTGCGTGCATTTTCCATAGCTTTTAAATTTGCTGAATAGCGCCATTGGAGACGCGGAAGTATAAATGACCATATAATCCTACTGTTTCGAAAGTGATTCCTTAGAAATAAAACCAACTGCTTTGCAACCACCCTTATTTTTCTGATCGATACATTGCCCAAGTCATTCCCCCCACAATGTATAAGGATGAAATTAGGTACAGGGCCCACCTTTCCAAGAGTTCTAATCTTTTGTTTAGTTTTACTTAACTGGAGGCCACTATAACCCTGCCACCACAGTGAGATGTGTTTTCTTTCTAATGTCAAATTTGTACCACCTGGTCTTAATACAGCTTCCAAAAAGGCGTGCTTGATTATTGATGAACCCACCAACCATATTGTCTGTATATCTAAAATTAGATTAAAACTTTGGTATGCGAATGTAGGATTTGTAAGAATCAGATTTCCAACGACCAGATCTCTGAATGTCATGAGTTGAAAATCCTTTTAACGCGAGATCAGTACTCGCGCCGATACGAAAAGAGTGAGATTTGTATCCTGAGATACCAGGCAAATTTAGGTGCTTTACTGCCTTACAAAGTACCCCCGTAAATTGATATCGTGTGAGTGGGGATAAATCGAAGTGTCGAAATAATGGACCTGAACCCTCTGGACGGATGCTGACGTATTTAGTAATGAGCTGATATGGACATGCTACACCACCCTGCTTATCTATTTGAAGTACTGTGCCTTTACCTAACTGGTCCGTTTTCGAATACCGGATAGTCAGTAAGAGAGATTGCGTTTCGTGATTAATGGACAAATTGTCGAATTGAATTGTGTTTTGTTGATCACCTTCTCTTGTATTAACTGTTAATTCGCCAACTCTTAAAAATCCATGAAATGCCAGGGAAAATGCAGCCGAGAAAAGAGCTGTTTCAAAAGCATTGGTACATATTATGGGCAGAACTTGAATAATATTTAGCAAAATTGTTTTCGTTATTGGCAGTCTAGTATCTACTTTATGTCTCAAACGTTTCATGCCCTGCAATAACTTTGTAACCAAGAACTCTGGGGTTGGATCGTGAACACTCTGCAATTTACAATAAAATGAAATGGCAGACAAGTATGACCTCACGGTACCATATGCGAGGCCGGATGATGATGAATGCAAAACGAATTGCACGACTGAGTTTAATGTAGGGGGCCATGGCGTGCAATCAATGAGTCTACATACTTTGTAATATGCTGCCATTCCAGCCCGATGAGATTTATGTGTGTTTTCAGATACTGAGGCGTCTAAAAGTTTAGCAAACTCAGGCTGGAGATGATGTTGCGGAAAGATAGGGGCACTGGGCAAGGGTGTTCCCTGGCATGTGGAGCTGCTTGTCGGAATCTGGCCCACTGCTTACGAGAAATTGAATCAGCAACTACATTGTCTTTACTTGGTATGTAAACTGCACGAAACAGAATATTATAATTCATAGAAGCAAGGACAAATGGTCTAAGTAGTTTCATGACCCGCTCTGATTTAGAAGTGAGTTTATTTATTATAGCGACTACAGCTTGATTGTCTATATGGAGAATGATCTTTTTATTAGCGAGTTTGTTACCCCATAAATAGACGGCCAAGACCACCGGAACTAACTCTAAAAAGGTCATGTCTTTAAGTAGGTCATTGGACGCCCAGGTCTCTGGCCAAGGGTAAAAACACCATTCCCCTTTGAAATAAGCACCACATCCCAAGTAAGACGAACCGGAACTATCTGTGTAAAAATTAATGTTGTTGTCTGACGTCCACTCAATATCTAAAAAATACACAGTCCCATTAAATGATTCAAGAAAATTAATCCACATGTACAAGTCCTGTCGCATTGATTGAGTTATCCTTATGTGATAATGTAATTCTGAAACTCCTATTGTAGCATTATAAAGCCGACGCAGAAATGCCCTACCTGGTCTTATGGCTCTTGTAAAGAAATTCAGTTTACCTAAAACAGATTGTAATTGTTGGAGTGTCATCTTGCGTTGAACAACGAGATGGTGTAAAATACCCTGTAGCTCTAAGCATTTTGAATTGGGGATCTTAACTAGCATATGATAAGTATCTATCTCAAAACCTAAAAATGTCATAACCATAGTAGGGCCTTCAGATTTGTCCTCGGCAATAGGAACACCTATATCATCGCAGACGTCTTGAAAATTCGACATAAGATCTTGACAGGAATGGGCATCCCTCCCAGCAAATATAAAATCATCTAGATAATGATCCATTGTTGATGTTTTAGAGCGCTGTATCGTAGCCCACTGCAAAATTGTAGAAAAATCCTCGAAAACCTTACACGAAATGGAGCACCCCATAGGTAAACATTTGTCTATGAAATAATTACCCTGAAATTTAAAACCCAGGAGATCAAAATCGCCGGGAAATATTGGAAGAAGTCGAAATGCGGATTTTATATCTCGCTTACCTATGAAAGCCCCCTTCCCTAATTTAGCAATCATCTGAATCACTGAATCAAAGGATGAATATTGTACAGCAGTTTCACAAGGATCTATGTATGAATTTACACTACTAAACTTCGGGAAAGAGAGGTGCGTTATTAGACGCCAGCCCAAATTATCCCCCTTCGGCACTAGCCCAATTGGAGATAACCTAAGATTAGAAATTGGTATTTTCGTGAAAGGACCCTGTATCCTCCCCATTTCAATTTCTTTATCGATTTTCTCTTTAAGTTCATTAGGATGATCGTCCGCGGATTTCAAATTATTACATTGAATTGGTAATCTAGGCCCATGATAATGAAGTTTAAACCCTTGAGAGAACCCTTGGATTAGGCGATTTGCTATGATTCTGTTAGGATAGTGGACGAGACATTTTTTAAGGGCGTGTACATTAATAGGCGTTGAACCTAGACGCCATAGATTGCGGGGTGCGGAATCTTGGTCTTGAGTAGGTGGGGCGCTGGGTGTTGCTGCTGGAATACCCCCTATAATTGGTATTTGCATTGGTTGAATACCCCTTATAGTTGGTATTTGCATTGGTGGTTTGTGGACGAAAACTTGACTGTCCATAGAATTGACCACTTGAATTTTGTTGGCGAAATATTTGTGCGGACCCAGTGTTTGAGGCTTGTGTAAGGCAATGTATCTGTGGATGGTTACTACCACATCGAATACAACTGTGTTTATACATGCATGGGAATTTGTCACAAGATCCCTTGTAATTGAAATTGAAGCATTTATCATTATTGGTTTTGGGTGCATTTGTTACGTTATAAGCGGGCCCAGAATGCATATACATCAACCATAATTCCGAGTCAATTTCACCCCAAGAAGACACAGGATTTTGCTCTTTGCGCAGCCTAAACTGCGTATCATATTCTTTCCAAGATATAGCCCCCCTGCTAACACCCATTCTTACGGTCTGTATGTACTTAAGTAGGTCAAGAGTCTTGGCGGGATGTGCACTCAAGTACACACTTGCAAATATGAGCATAAGGTCAGTCCATTGCTCAATATTTTCTACCTTTTTTGGGTTGGCATCTTTATAAATTATCTCACCCATACTATTCATAACTAATTTCTTTTCATCAGACCCTGATTTTGGTGTTACCAATGTGGCCAAATCAATATACTGCCCACTAATAATACGTTGTTTGACTGTGCTAGAAACATTCATACCAATCATATGTATTGATGGGACAGGAGCAGGGGTGGTACCAACATCTGTTGGAGTTGAGATTGTTGCTCCAGAGGTGGTCGGTGCAAAGGATGGCCCTGCACTTGTCGTCAACATGGGTTGCGCTTCCCCCACAACGGAAGTTGATGGAGCCTGGGTCGGTGGTATTGGTACATATACTGGACATCCTGCCGACGCCGTCGACGAGTACGTCTGGGAATTCACAGACACCGTAGCCTGACTACCACTTGGCTGCTGTGTGGCAGTCGCTGCTGGTTGAGCCATTCTACGCTTCTTAGCTCTCGGTGGCATCGTGTTCAGAAAAGAAAAGAAAATTCTTTATTTATATATATATATATATATATATTTTTATATTTGTAAGAAGAAATTTAAATTAATTATCTCCTCATTCTCACATGCTTTATTATTTCTTTTTATAAAGTTAGCCTAATTTTTTATTTATTTATTTATTATTATTATTTTTTTATTATTATTATTATTATTATTATTTTTATTTATTTATTTTATTTTTTTTTTTTTTATCTCCCCTTGGTATGGAAAGCTGAAACGTGTCGGATCAATTTATAAAACAAAGAAAATTTAATTAAGCCAAAGCAATATGATATAAATCCTAACGATCAAGATAATTGACTTAATAATCATTATATCTTATCACATACTTACATCATATAATCTGTTTTAATGAAAACTTATATAGATACAACGTGGTCGGCTAATACAAAATGGCCACAACAGACGCTAGAAAAAATTATCATTATAAAATCAAGGATCATCGGGAAATCATGAATAAATACTCCTAAATTGATTGCAGCAAACAACTACCAAATAGATAACAAAAACATCCATATGTATTATACCCATTAACTATTTTTCTAAATATCTAAATTTGCAAAAAATTATCCTTTAAAATTGCACCAACCTCATTCATATAGTCTGTGAATGAAAAAGGATTAACGGAAGTTGACTCAGGGGGAATAACTCTAATTGATTATAGGGATTATAGGCGGATCTATGGATTTTGTAATATGGGAAATTAACACTTTCTTCGATAAAAGCCTCCAATTCGAATAGAATTGGATGTGATAAAATATCGAAGGGTGAAGCTTACCTCAATATCGCACAGGACGTCGTTGAATTAGACGTATGCGTGATAAAACGCTTCACGTTTGCATTTTCCGAGTGCGGGAAATCAATTGTGACGTCACACTAAAACATACGCACGCAAAATTATCTAAATAGAGAAAATCTCTACTACTAAACATGAAAAAATATTAATTTAAAAAATCTGCTTCTGAAATTTATCACGATACATTGACTGTGACCTGTTTATTAGGAAATAAAATTGATCATGACGGGTGTAGCTAATGTGTAACGTGCGAGTACCCATTATTGCCGAGTACCCATTATTGCCGATTTTCGATTTTACGTTTAAAAATCTGTCAAACGGTAGTTATTTGTAATTTTTTCGCAAGATACATAAATTACACAATTTTTTCAAACCCCCAATCGACTCGGAGAAAGAAAAAAGTTGTTTAGAATTAATAAACTCACCGGTGATGTCTCAAGTCTTTGAAAACGCACAAAATAGCAGTCGTGCGACAGGACATGCCATAGAATTTTCGGCAAGATTTCCATTTTCCTGACAGAATCAGTCATATTTTGGTGCAATTCAAATGAATATTCTCCTGCATGGACTGATACTAAACGAAATTATCCATGATAATATTTCTACTTGCAGTATTTCACGAAAATTACGATGAGTACGAAGCGTCTGCTGTACGACGCCATTTTTGTTTTGTACGGGAGCGGATCAAAATCCACCACACGCACCTGTTCTTAATAAATCTGCAACAGGTTATTTTTAACGATTTATTTTTGCTCATACCGCTTCAAAATTATATGGACAACTTTTTAAATTAACATTATAAGGTGGAAGTGTCTTATTTATTTTTTTTTTAATAAAAAATTATTTATAAATGGGAATATGAGAAAAAAAAATCAAGTTCTGGTTGACATGAGAGTACAAAGACATATCTTGGATTCATCTTTGGAGAAACAATATACTCACTTAATAACTTGCTCTAATTTTTTTTTCTTCAAGAAATCACACAAAATATTATGAAAGATGAGGTTCTATTGAGGATGGGGGATGGTGCAAGCTACTTTCCTTCAAAGATCCTTTTTGCAATTCCAAGTCATTTCACAGCTACAAAAATTGGAAACTGAAAAAACCCTGGGGCTGAAGGGTCCAAAGCCTCTAGTCATTCCTTATCATTGAACAAAATTCTTTCAAATAATAAATACCAGGGTTACTTTTAGCTTAGCTATAGGCATACTGCGGTATTTATTGAACTTTTAATTAATTATATAATCTATATATATATTGTGACAAATGTACATGTTTCAAATATAACAAAAACACTTTAGAAAATTAAAATGCTTTGAAGCTGTTTTGTTTATCTTGCTACTTGTGAAAAAGAAGCAATTTAGGTAACAATATAACCCCCCCCCCCCAATGGTTCAGAGAGTACCTTAAAATTAAAGTCATATACGCTATATGAACGTCGAATTTTGTGTGAAACAAAATGATTAATGATTTAAAACACATGAAGTGCAATGATACTTTCAACGAAATTGTACTATAGATGTCGTTGTAATAACAAAACAATTAAACATATCTAGGAATTAAGAATTCAGTCTTTTCATGAATATTGATGAAGGAAGTGCGTAAACAGTAGGCCTATATTTAGAAACACATGTCCACGGGAAATCACAGACAACGAGGTATGTTGCATTTTGACAACAATTATTAATATAAGGTCAATATGAGTCATAACAGAGAAGATGGTTAATATTGAATACATTAAAAGATAAGTACCATTAAGAGTAAGACGCTTGCCAACCACGTCAAAAGTGAGTAGTATCTCAAACGGCCTACCTTGTTTTCTTTATACCACGTGTGTTTATCAATCTAAAAGTAGCGACGGCGTCACGTGATGGATTTATTTAAAAATAGCTATTTTTCTTTCCTTGCAGGATAATAAATAATTATAATTTGATAACTTTGTAACGCGTTTAATTTTAATGGTGTAATTTACAGTATTTTTGTAACTTTTATTGATAAACAAATTATATCAATTTCCAATCGTATTTTTACTGGCGCAAGTTATAGCGTGTATACTTTTAAGCAAAGTCAAAATATTGTTTACAGTTAGTAATTTCTCGAAATCAAATGTAAACAATGCAATTTTTATCAACAGTCTGCTTCTGAAGGGGGGATAAATTGTTTACTAAAATAAATTTTAAAAAAAGAAGAAAAAAAACATACATTCGCAGCATTGGCAAATATACCGGTATTGTATACTTCATAGATCATAAAACATTTACCCCGGTAATTTCTGGAACAAACTTACACAATTCTCTGTGTAGGTGATATGTTATTAATTTACATTTTTTAAGAAATTGGAAGACATAGGGGAAAAAATACCAAACCAAAAAATTAGATATGCATTGCGATCTAATTTTTCTCAGTGGAATTAAAGTTTTTTTTTTATTTTAATATTATTAAAGAAGGTGGAATAGATTCCCCTGTGTAGAATGCAGAAAAATTAGAAATACATGTATTTAAAATTTCTATGGCTCATGATAAATATAAAAATTCTACTTTAATACTGAGTTTTATTTAAGTGGAATGAAATTATAGTTAAGAAACATTTTTTCCTTAGTATTAATAGAAAAGACAAGTAAAAAAAAAAAACACATGCTAGAAGTGTTTCATTTACAAGCTAAATCAACATACATGTGTGTAACAGAAAATATTCAAATCAACTCATATCATTCTAATACATGAAAATAATTTTTGTTGTGTAATGGTTTGGGCCGTGGGTATCGGCCTGGATAGCTCAGTTGGTAGAACACCTGACTGGAGATACAGGGATCCCGAGTTCGATTCCCGGTCCAGCCATGCATTTTCTCCTTTCCTGTTACAGTTACCGGTAAGTTGACTTAGATAGTAAATGCCTAAATCCAAATTCTGCATCAAGCATTGCAAAATGAAACCAACTTGTATATCTGTATATCAACAAACAAAAGGT